CTTCTAGCCATTTTTTTCTGATCTTTACTCCAATAATTATAATACTGAAAACATATTCCCTAATCACTGGGTAAGGATTAGGGACCTATAGCATGGGAGTTCTTTCCCCAAGATGAAGCCATATCCTAAATTGGGAAACACACCAAGCCAGCTAATACTGTACTTCCTGGCTCTCTGCATTGCCTGCTTGTATTTTCTAGAAACACGTGAAGTCTATGCCATTAAAAATAATAATAGAATTCCTCAGCTGACTATATCCCCAAGAGAGTAAAAAGGCATGTATACACCTGCAATGCTTCGGTAAGAACAACACTAAATGTTTGAAAATTAATATATCATGCAATATAAAAAACCGACCTTGGCAGGAACAATTACAGTTTCTGGCACACCACTGTCCATGCTGGCAGTAGCAACCACTGCTAAGTGATAGTGTCCTTCATCTGCAGCCAAATCTCATCGGTGAAATACAGGTTCTGAGAGTATGCAACAGAGGGAGAGATAGGATCTGCTTCCTTAGCTTTAAGTAAATGAAGTGTTTTAATGGCAGTAAGGACAGAAACCAAAATTGCTCTGTTTCAGGCACATGATGATACCATTTATTTTTTTGCCACTGCCCAGGGGGCAGGCAGTGGCAGCAGCAAAAGGCCAGAGGAGACTGTAAGAAGAAAGGCTGGGTAATCCAGCGGGCCAGGAGGGACCAGAGAGGAGATGTCCAGGGCACCACAAGAGAGAAGGCTGCGAATAACATGGGAAGGGTTTGCAGTTGCTGCATCACCCAGGTCTCTGGAGGAAAACAGAAAATGAAAAGAGACAGAAAGCCAGGAGAAAAAACTGTATTTGAAAGATATTGCTAGTTACAATAGAAATTAAAAAAAAAAAAAACAAACACCTTAAACAGGAAAAGGGGCATACTGTATTCCTGCAACTACTAGGCATTAAGTGACAGTTATTTTCTATAGAAAAGCAGGTGGCGTATGAAACGCAATAGACTTTGTTAATACTGTATCATATACAACTATTTTTCCTTGCTTGCTGCATTTGCTGCACGGGTAAAGCAAGTCAAGCTTTCAATTTCCAATAGAACATTACTGTAACCTTCAGACATAATGCTTTGGGTGATTTTACATCCAGTGTTGTCATTGCTTCACTGTAAATAATAATACTATGGGGAAGAAAACCAGAAAGTTTTGATAAATAATGCCTTTCCTTTCTGAAGTGCTTGTAGATCAGAAAGTGGTTTAAAATTGCATCTCTGAATCAGTTCACCTATTACTGAAATGTAGCCAACTATGAGAGGAAAAGTGGCTGATGACATCTGCGATGATGGCCGTGATGGCCCGGTGCAGCATCCTAGGGCAGCCAGCTGCTGGACCTGGTTGCTACTGCTCATGCTGAAACTTTCCATTTAAACTTTGTTGTTTGGATGGTCTGTGTTTCAACATTCGAAAACATCTCTTTGGGCTGGGAGGCTGGAGTAAAAATATGGAAGGGATATGTGGCTGCAAAAGATATGTAGATACCTGGATTGTAAGGTTATCCGGTTAGTGGCTGTTCAACAAGAAGAATAAAACAAGAGACAAGAACACTAATAAATCAAATCCCCAGATACCCAAACCCTAGGGAACAAGAGATACCAGAGGCAATAGCAGAGACCAGGCATGTTGAGGTTCAGCTTGAATGTTGCAGCTTATACAAAAAGGGCAAATAAGGTTATCATGGGTCTCACAGGAAAAAACAAGCTTATGGCATGTTTTAAAGGGATTGTGAGAACACGTGAAATTTATTTTGCGATGTTTAAGGGAAAGGCCAAAGAGAGGGGTCAGAGTGGATCAGGGAGGAACAAGTGTAGGAAAATGGAGAGGCAGGGGCATAAAAGAGTCTGGTTGTCTGTCAGGGTGCTTGTTGGGCTGAGCCCCGTGTCTGATTGCTGCAGC